TAGTAACGATTGTTCAGGTGTAACCCCTCTTCTTTTCAGAAAAGCGCCGAGCCTATTTCTATGTTTATGGAACCATGTTCCACCGCACTGATTTGCTGTTTGTAGATTAGACACTATTTGGGACCGATCAATTCGGAATATTTTTGATATAAATAATTTATGATAATATTTTCAGATACAAATTATTTGTTAAATGCGTTTGAACTACTTGACGAGCTTCGATGGTCTCCCCTATGATATGGTATTATGAATTGACTCTAATTTTTAATACTGATTTCCAAAAAAAGCTATACACCATTCTATACTTTATAGAGTTATTTTGAATACATTTTCGAAACATACACTATATAACATTATAAATTCTAATGATTGGGAATCCGCGTACTTCGAGATAACTGACATGCCGAACATCCTGTCATAAATGGTCTAGTAATGCAAGAAAGCAATCCAGGTAGAGTTGGGTTAGTGAATGTTTGAAGTCCGCAATCATTCAACTAATCCGTTCTTTTAGAGTGATCCTGTATTTTTTATTTCGTATGTTGCATGTAGGGTCGCACCACGAGCACTTAGCTAGGCTCTCCTTAAATTTAAGGGACATGGGTGGTGTTTATTTGCATTTTTGTAATCCCATGCATTTATTACATCTTGAGACGGTAGACAAAACCATCACTTTCAATACTCCGGTACAACGTAGTGACACCTCCTAAGACAACAAAATTAACATACCGGTCTAGCGAACCTTAAAGTTTTAAGGACTAGGGATAGGACCCCAGAACGACATGGGAAAACCTCAACACTAACTTAGTGACATCTAAAAGACATTAACTGAATCTACGCGATTTTTTAGGAGTCTCTAGCCACCTTAATTAATCTAACCCTAAGTAAGTACCTGTTAAAATAAGGCCCGGAGACCTTCCCAAAAAAATATCACATAAACACTACACCTTAGGTCCAGAAAAATTACCCATAATCAACGCTCAAAACTGACCAAGTGATTATATGTATCCGGATTGACCTGTAGAAAAATTGGGCCTCCATAGCTTTGACATTTAGAGTTGACCCCTTAATTTGCACCAATACGGGGTAGAAATTTACCTATTTTGCCCCTAAAATTCACTTAACCAAATATATTAAAAATCCCTAAGATCTGTCTCTAAACAACTTGGAAACACTTTCTCTGCGTTCACTTCCTGGGCCTTGGAAGTGATTCACAATCGTTGGAGCTCATTTGGATCAAAACAGTTAATAATTAGGCCCTTCCTAGATTAATTTAGAAAAATCCCCTTAATTACGCACGAAACTATCACTATTAGAAAATTTTCATCAGGTAAACTCATTGCATAGAGCAAAATTCCAGAATTAGTAAAATGGCATAGATCTAGGGCTAATTAGTTAAAATTTTAGTTTAGAAAACTGGCCTAGATTAAGAAAGCAACTTTTGGGTTCAACCCCTGACTATCAGGGATTAGGAGTCCCGAAACTAGAAAAATTCAAACTTGGCTTAGAAAACTGTGTCGATTTCAGCCTTACTACCTGTTTCTAACTACTCGTATTAAGTCTAGTATTTCTCTAAGGTGGAATAGGAGGACTCAGGAATTAGGCCTTTTCCCATGTGGACTTTTGGCACCTTAGCTTAGTCCTAGGGAGGCCTTAGAACTTCCAAAATTTTCAGGCTATATATCACTTAAACTCTTTTAGATATCTGAGTACTTTTAATTCTTAAAATCGACAACAAATTGAATAATGAATGGCTATATAATACGACGCTAATTCACTAATATTTGATGTTCTAATTAAAAATACCTCTTTCTTGACTTCGAGCATACCTGA